AAGGATTCATAAAATGGCTTCAGAAAATTATAAATGAATACAAAGTTAATAAATGATATTTTGCACAATACTGTTCATGTGCTGAAGCAAAATGATTAGAATACTGCAATTATGTTAATGTTCTCTCCTTTAAAACAAGTCAAAACATGTTTCCATACACCAACATTTGCATAGCACTACAAATACAAATACAGTTGCAACCTTTATAATAGCCTTTTAAAGATACTCTAGTAACGTTATTCCCCCTTGATGGAAGATGTTGGGGGGGGCACCAAGAAGTGCAGTACATATGAGACCATTTACTCAGTACATACCAGAGTGTGATCAACACTGGACTGCTTGTGATTTGTAGCTGTCTCTTACCCACTATGTCATAACAACTCGTGTACTGAACTGGCTCTCAGTAAAATTAAAATAAAGGGGTGCTGTGTGGTCCAAACAAAATAAAATACAAATGCAAGAATAGGCTGCACCTATACCTGTCTGCTAGTGGCTTTCACTAGTTAATAATGCTGCAGATTAAATTGTAAATTGATTACATTGTGGCTCATAGTTCAAATAATTTACTGTGCCTTGTTGTTTCTTTCTAGGGTTGTGGAAGTAAAGACACCATAAAGTGGGCATTAATCAGCCCTCTAGATAAATGTCAAAATTCTTTTACATTGTTATCCAAAAGGTGTAACTTTTGGAAGCAATTGCTTCAGTTTAAGAAATCTCTGTAGACATTATCTGCTGCACATGGAGTCGCAATATTTCTTAATCTAAGGTAGGCAGTTCACTTCCAAGTTACATAATTTGTGTTATGGCAGCCCAACAAGAAGGGTTTTGCCCATGATAAAGAATCTGACAGCTTTTTGTTGTTGCTCTTTTTGTGTGCACTTAAAAAAAACTAAAGAAAGGGCCTCTTTGGTGTTGGGCCTCTAGTTATGAAAAGCCCTTTCTGGGGAGGCCAACCTAGTTTCATGTTTTATGTACTTCCTGTTCTTCTTTGAACTTTAGGAAGAGAGAACAGGAAATACATACTTCATGTTTTGTCTAACCTTTCATGTTTTTTGTCTGTCAAACCACTTGAGAAAGTTTTTAATCCAGTAGTTGCAAGGAATGCTGTCAGCAGCCAATCAGAATATCTGGAGAGGGGACAGGAATTTTGCATCTGTAGAAGGGTCTGGAACCCATTGAGAACTGAGGCTTGTAGCTTCAGTCATTCTTTGTGGGATTACTATATACTGAGCTCCTGGTGCCCTCTATCTTGGATTGCTTTTGTTGCCTGCTTGCCTGTTTCTCCAGCTGCATCCTTTCCCCCTTTTCAGTTTTTGTTGTTGTTGCCTGTTTAAACTTGATTTGGTGGGATTGAGAGGTCTAATGATTATTTTTCTCATATACTGTTGCCTGCTTTTGGATTATATTGATTCTCTGTTGCTCTGCCACTGCTTTTTTGGAGTAGTTTTTAATGCTTTTAAGGGTTTTTAGTGTGCCCGAAAACCTGAACGGGGAGACCGAATGGCAAACCTGAGGGAAGCTTTCCCTTTTATGTAAAACAAAAGGACTGAGATATGAAAACAAAAGAGGCATCCCTCCTCCAAAAGAAACTGAAACGAAAAATTTCACCATGCACATTCCTAGTGCCTGGATTGTTGTTTTGTCTTTGGGAGGGGAATACTTCCTATACTCTGCAGGGATTTTAAAAGCCTTTATATTTATGATAGCTTTTCTGGGTTTGGGATTGGTTTGTGTGACTTTAGGATTCTTTTAAAGAATTGCTGTAGCACTACTTCAGATACTTTAAAAATTATTATCAGAGTTTAATTTTCCTTCTATAGGCACAGTTTTATTATGTAAGAGATGATAAACAAACCTACAGATGAGAGAGGCTTAACAATATGCACAGTCAGATCAACAATAAGGAATTAATGCCTGCCATTTTAATATTTTGTTTTATTTCATATTCACCTCCTCAGACATAACAAAATGTTTAAGGCACCATGATATTTTGTCCTTTCCTCCCCACTTCTCTCCTCCTATTTTGGTCATCATTCATGTACAGATACAGAGAACAGAAACAAAAGATAAAATTGCAGTGTTCTATTTCTCCTCAAACTGTCCAGTGGTGACACAAAATGGCTTCCTTGCGAGAATGGACTTGTCTACAAATAGCTTTCAAAATCTTCCATTACAAAGAGTGCCATCTCTGGAGGCTTTTTCACACACACAGCACAGGCCAGGGCAATCCTTATAAAACACCAGCTTGTGTTAGGTAAGTGCAAGAGAAAAGAAGAGAAGTGAGTGAGGGGCTTTTAAACAAGAGGGAAATGTGACTTTGTAGGACTGCTGATGTGTATGCCCAGCAAAACACATGTGCAAACTCCTTGGCAACTTGAGACAAACTCAATGGGCTATAGCCTGATCTCAGTCCCTAGGGCTGGCAATCTCTGTGAATGTCACCCTGTGTTTGTTTGAAAGCAGCACCTGGTAAATATTGAACTGAGCTAGTCTGTCATCAACACAGGTGTTGTTGTTTTTCTGTAAATATCCGAATGCCATGGTGGCTGCTTCCTTCTTCACATGAGTCACCGTGAGCCTTCCCAAGGTGCATCTTTACAAATGCTGAATCATAGCAAAAAAACAAAACAAAAACAAAATACACACACACACACATGGGAAATGCCTGGGTGCCAGAAGTGTCTCGAGGGCACAAGAAGAATCACTAAGGGGCAGAGGGAGGGAGATCCATCGTATAGGGCTTAAAAAAAAATCAGGAAACAAATGACGTGACCCTTGTGTGTACCAGAGCAAATGAGAAGAATCAGTTACTGCTTCTGGCTCTAGTTACTACCACACAAACCAACAATTATTAGTCAGGAAGACACGGCTGTATAAAATATTCAAGCAGAAAAGAGAACCATTCACAGTAAAATTTACTTTCTGAGGTCCCAGCCTTTTCAGACGTCAGCACTCTTATGCCATAGTTTTTTCAGATTTTCTTCGGAGCAACTGAAGCGGATTCATAAAACGTTTCTCTTAAAAACAATTCCAAATAAACCACCTGCTTACGCTTTCAGATACCAAGGTAGATTTTCACAACCATCTTACTATAATCAGTGGGCCTTACATTGAAGCATATATAGGACTGCCGCCTTCCTTTTCTTCTCATCCTCTCCTTACAGAGATTGGCCATCATCTTGGTTATCTTTGGATGAGACAACTCTTGGGTGAGGCAATGATGACTTCTTTCCCCATCTCAGGTTCTTCACCCTAGAAATTTATTTATTTAATTTATACCCCACCCATCTAGACCGGTCTACTAATTTGCCTTTGTTTTAACTTGAATAACTGGCTGCAACTATCTGTATTTTTTGTTCCTTAATACATAATCCAGCTTTCTGTTCTGCCTTTTATATATTTTTGTGATTTCTTGATCTTTATCCATTTCTTTTTCATTACTAATCCTATTGATGTAAGAAATCCTTAGCATCGTGTGATAAATCCATGGATTTTTTCCTTTTTATAGTTGCATGCATTACATTCCATGATTTCATGCCATACAGTAGAACCAAGAATATGTGTGCCATATACTGTGCATTCTGAAAGTTAATTTTATGGTTTTGTTGCATATTAAATGTTTCATCTGAAGGAACTTGCTCCAAGCAATTTCTTACTTTCATTGCGTGACTTTGATCTCACTGTTAATTCAACCAAAAGTTAGAATATCTGTATTTGCCAACATACATCAAACTTTCATTCTGGATCTTTGGCTGCATTTCTAAGGATGCTAGCTTTTCACTGATTACCATGAACCTGGTTTTCTACAGCCTTAGCAGCCAAAAGAGCAAAGAGTTCTGATCTTCCATTTCCATTACCATCCATGATGATTTTTAATAGAGGTCTATCTGTTAGAGGTCTTTTTTTAAGGATGCAGGTGGACACAGAACATGTAACTAGACAAAAAATTGTGCAGTTGCAAGTCAATATTGATCAATATAGGAGAAACAAGATGGCTTTAACAGTGAAGCATGAAAACTTATTTTTCAATTTCTAACTGCATTTTCCCCCATTTGCCTTTTTTGTCCAACAGCATGTACTACCACACCGTGCCCCACTGCACATATTTGTCTCAGGAACACTGTTAGAAGACCACATAAATTGCCTTAAAATCTTAGGACACATTTTTGACAGCCACCTTGGGTCTCCTTATAGGGAGAAAGGTAGGCTATAAAACAAACAAATATTATGGAACAAACTTGCTAACTATAAACATTTGTATCAAAATTAAGCAGTTATTGCTGTACTTCTCCCTATTTGCATCTTGCCACCTACACCTCACTTTTACCTATAGTGGCAGTGGAGACCTTTTCCTGTGACATTTTTTCATGCTGCTTGAATAACGTACAGATGAAGGAGTCAAAGATTTTCTTCACAAGTGACGTTAGATGAACACAGAGATCTGTCGAGTTAGATTGTTGGTCCACGCTTAGCCCAGCAATGTCACCTCAATCTGGCATTGGCTCTCCAAGGTTTCAGGCAGTCTTCTTCCTACCTGAACCTGCAGATCACAGGTATTATGAGGAGGTACCCCATCCATGTGCTAGCAAGGTGCTACCTGGTTAGGTTCTGAAGTCAGATGAGACTGTGTGTGTTCAGGATATGATGGGGTCTGTTTAAGAGAAAGGGTATGGAAAAGAACACTTTCTAATTGGTACTGTTGATGTCGTTTCTTCATGTAGACAGAACAGCTCGAGAAAAGTCATAGAATAGTGGTCCCCACAACACAGAAACATGTGTTTGAAGATGTTAACTGTATTCCACAAAAGTTCACACTGATTTTTTAAAAAAAGAATCAGTCTTAAATATGCTGGAATACTTTTGTTTTTGTTGTTCCTAATGGTTTTCAGAGGCATGTTGCTTTTGCAATTCTCTGACAGGTCACACCAGACTAGTGCCCCCCCCCCCCCCCAAAAAAAAGGAAAAGAAAAGAGCAAAAAGCTCAATGGTATAGGAAACTATTTGAGCATGTGAAAATATTTATTACTGCTGTCACCACAATTTCATAAAATCAATGTACACATTGTGTAATATAGAATCAAACTATTTGCCTTAGGATCATGAATACCTATATACAAATATATGCTTCGAATGTAGGCATACATTTGTATATAGTTTCCAACAGAAAGGTAATTCTTATATTACCGTATGTAATTGTTGACATTACTAGACCAATACATAGTTAAACTACACAGCCTTAGGTTCAGTGACAGACAATTTTCAGCCTAATGCTGAACATCACACCAGTTGATATTTCTCTGCTAATGTTACTGACTTTTAACTTTCATGTACATGTTTTTGCCAGCAATATATTGCTTTTGCTTTCATCTTCAATTATAAGGAGACAAAACTAACCAAATCCTATAATGTACTCAAACTCTGTCTTAATGTATCTATGCACAATGTTGTGCACATCAGAAAGATTGAATGCTGTTTGTTAAATGAGTATAAAACTGAAAGAATCAACAGGAAAAGAGATTTGATAAATTATTAGCAATGTACGGTGATGATTAAAAGGTGGGAGGATATTAATCAATCATGCATTTCAAGCAAACTATATGTTCCTGGTGGAGTGTTTGCAAGTAAAACATGCAAAAGGATGAAACTCAAGCAAATCTCAGCTGAAGGGAAAAATATTCCTGGTTGGATCCATACTTAATCAGAGGGGACTCACCAAAATCAAAGGGGGTTCTTATTATTCATTAGTAACTATAGTACCATTAATCTCAGTTGGCCTACTTCAAGTGTGACTAACTGTGGATCCAACTTAATGGCTTTTTCCAATGACATTTAACTATACTGTACATTTATTTACAACACTGAAATTTTTGGCTGGCCCATCACTAACTGTAAGACAATGGCACTTAAATCACACAAAACATGGTTCACTGCCATTCCCAAGCTGTTAAAAATTGTTCAGGGGGCCACAGATAAGAAAAAATCATTCCAACAGAAGTTATTGGATTCAAACAGCAAATAGAAAGGCACCAACTGGATTGGGTCATTTACATTTATAAAATAAATGCATTAACAACAAAACTATGATACTCATGCATGCATGTGGAGGCCCTGTTTAATAAGATTCTGTAACATAGATAACAAAGCTACAGCAAGCAGAAATCTATGTACACAGCAGAGACCGATCCCTCAGGTCAACCTTGCAGTCTCTGATTTATAGATGGTAGATATAAACACATAAAATAAGTGAATGAGCATTAATGGCAAGCCATGAATTTCAACTCCCCTTTCTTCAGCATCTAGTTAATCTAAAAGTGATCAAAAGTTTTCATAAGCAATTCCAGTCCATTTTGTTTGATTATCTATGTATTAACCTTGAAGCCCCCACAATCTTTTGGTAGAAAACATTCTGTTGTTGTTTTAGACATGTGGTTTGTTTACTTACACACCTATTGCACAATAGATAAAATAGCCTGAATTTTGAATCCATAAAGATTTTTCATGGGTCTAGTTATTTATTTAAAATCAAACATGGCCCACTTTTACAATTTCATTTTAAAAAATATATACGTACCATTAGGTGTATCTTAACAAATACTGAAATTACTGATGTTTGGAAACTGAAGGATTTAATGTTTCCACATGTCAGAAAGACAGGAATTTAATGAATGCTGACATTGAGCCAATGCTCCATGGCAAATGGAGAGATTCTTTTTATAAAATGTAGAATAGACTATTCTTACATCAGAAATGGGTTATCAATTTTCCCTTACTTACATTGTGGATCTAGATATCTAATGGAAACATTTATATGTGTGATAACAATGTGAAACTTAAGACAACCTAATAAGAGACATGCTTCATTATAAGTAAATCTTTCTCTGTGTAATAAAATGTACTTCTTAGGTATGATTCTGAGGATCAAAGCCCACCACTACATGCTGAAATCCTTTGTATTCCAGAGACATGATTCAGGAAGAACTTGGGTCTGAGAAATCAGACTTGCAAATGAAGTCTATGCTTACATCCAGGAGACCAGTCACAAAAACGTGCACTAATCTGAAACTATCAATGTTCCTATACTTAAGGAATTTCCTCCTCTAATAAAATACTAACTTTAATATACACTTTAGCTCTAAGTGCAGTCTAACAGACCAAAGTAAATTATTATTTCCCATTACAAACTTGAAATGACTGGATCCTTTCAAATCTAACTATATCGGTTAGATTTAAGAGGGACAATCAGGTATTTATTTATTTAATTAATTTATATCCCGCCTATCTGGTTGGGTCAGGACCACTCTAGGCGGCTAACAACATAATAATACTGGGGTGACTTTTAGTTATTCTTCAGAATTAAGGAGAAAGGGAGGCAAATCAAGACTATAAAAAGCTTCAAGGCACCTTCTTCAAAAGACATCCAGTGAATTAAATGCACCATCTGAAAGACTAATATGCAGTAAGCAGGTTGAGGATCACAACCCATGAAAATCACATTTCCAATAGCAGTGGATTTTTCCATTCCACAGCATATTTATCTTGTAAATTAGTAATGGTAATGCATGCAACAAAAATATGCTTTATCACTTTATGTAAACATTAGCTTTCTCCATGCAAAATGCCTACAAAACTGTGGCAATAAATTATTCTAATAGCATCATTTTACATTAGCTCAGTCACAAAAACTGTTATTCCAGATTCCATGATTATGCAGTAGAGAACATTTAAAAAACCCCTGAAAGGTTTCCAGCATACATACTCCAAATCCCTGCTAATTTGATTTTGTACGGATTTAACGAAAGAAGCTTATTCTTTGCCACAGCTCATTGTTCTAGTAATGATGGAAGAGATGAGGCCAGTTTTGGGAGGGGGTCCCATCAGTATTGGAGCTTGGTTCTTGTGTGTAATTTTTATCTGGAGAGAGACAGAAAGAGAGAAAAGTTATCTGTTAAATTATTTAATCACAAAGTAACAGTGATTTTAAGGTTCCTTGCTAATACTTCACGGATTTTAAGAAATAGACTATTTTTATTTAAATTTTTATATGAATAGGTTTATTTGTTTCAAACAAGCAGCTATTATTATCATAGCCCTGCTATTGCCATCTTGGCACTTTCCAGAGGTTCTCAACTCTAACTCCCACAATCCCCAGAACAGCCTAGCTGATGGGAGTTGTAGTCCAGTACAGCTGAAAGGTCTTATGGTGAGAAAGAAAGAACAAACAACTTTTGATTGGGCCATTACCAGTGCACCAAAAATCAGTTCACATCTATGAAGGCACCATACCACAGCATACAATAAAATGTTTATATGAAACAATAAATTATTGATTAAGAGGGAAAAGTATTCCACAATACTGGAGCAGCCACTGGGTTGGTATCATGTCTTGGTCAACTGTGCCCCTACCCTACTGAAGTCTCAAATATGATTCATAATTCTAACTATATGGCAATTTCATAAGAAGTAGTATTTTCCTCTTATTTGACATTTACAAACTGGAATGTGATGCTTAAATTTTTTTTATCTGAAGAGCTGTAAGTCAAACGAACAGATTCAGTTTATTGCATAGCACACAGGCCTTTGCAGAATACACAATATAAAATCAACACAGTACAATACAATATAAAAGAAATTAAACTTCTAATCAAACTTACAAGTTGTAAGTGAATGGCAATTTGACGCTGCCCTTTCAACACCCTACTATGATGGGCCAAAGCATGAGTTACAGATAATCTTTCATTAGAAAGGAGAATTCCTTAAATATGGTTTATGTGTGATCATCAAAAGAAGAGGTTCTCAGCTCCTGTAATTTGCCATTTAACTTGTTTTGTTCTATGATTGGTCTTTAGGGTCTAAGCAGTTTCTTCCTTTTGAAGTAGATTTCAGAGAAATGAAAGGCTGCCTCTTGAACACTAATGTGATTTCAGCTATATTGATGGACTACTATAATGTATAGTTTGGATCTCGTATATTCTAAGCCAAGGAACTATGAATATCACAGAAGACTATGTACCTACAATCATTATGCCCCTCTACCTCAGTGGGGCTTCCCTGCCTGTATCTAAGGGAGTTTCATTTCTACTCTGGTATGCTGTTGCTGTATCATGGTAATATTGAATTTTGTACATATCCTCTATTAAAAATAGACACTTAATTATAGTAGCATGTCTTATTTATACTTCTCCTAATTGCATTGTTCACTGCTCTTAACATGAACTTCAATGCTCCATTTCAAAATAACCACTACGAATTAAAGTCAAAATGTAACATAGTAAAAAAGGTCAAAAATGATGAAGTAGCTTTCCAATTTGTTAATTAATTGATAGTAAAAATCAAATCAAATATTGAAAGGCCTGTTGAAAACACTACAAAATACTACTTTATAGCTATCCATTTTGATTTCTTTGATATAAAACTAGAAATCACCTTAAATGAGACAACCTTAGCATAGATTATGTCGCCAATTTTCTCTAATTCAAGTCTAAATTAGAGAAGACATTTTATGAATGTATGCTATGCTCAAAGCTAATTGAAACCAATTATGAAAGTGGCATTTTGTCTGTGACTTTAAGATACATTGTAAGATAATAAATGATTCTCATTATGTAATAAAAAGGTCACATCTTGCCTTTAGGCTAGTGACGCTAACAGTTTTTCAAAAGCTATCTGAGACATTTTCTTTAGTGAACTACGACTAATACAAGAACCATCACTTATTAAATATCAGTTGTCATCTGCACAGTATCCACATCACAAATGAGTATTTCTTTCAAAAAGAAACACCACCTCATTAAAATTGGCAAAAAATATATCTCTTAAAGTGCATACCTGACATTTTCAAGCTAAAATGAATATCCTTCACTTGTCATTCACTAATAGTAATGAAAAAAAAAAGGTACACTATGGGGAGAGGCTCATTAAAATAGGGAACAGGCTGCTTCTTGGGATGGAAATTTACTTTACAATAAAGAGACAGAAATATAAAATCTCAACACGATAAGTGGGTTTCATTTGACTCCACTGGAATCTTAGTTTAATCTTCCTTGGAATAACATGCAGAAAACAAATTGAGTTTATGCAATATTGTATATGGACTGCTATACAGTATTTAAGATCCCGATTCTACACACACTTACCAAGGAACAAGCCTTATTGAATTTAGTAAAGATTACTTCTAAGTAAACATGAATTCAGATTTTAATTTCTTTGAATTCCACCAATTTGTAGAACTGGTGGAGATAAAGCAGCAACATTTCAACATTCAGTATACTTCCTTATGGGACCTCAGACTGACATAGGAATTCGAGCCATCATCTTTCATAACCTTTGCACATCAATCCCTAGTGCAAGATAATTTTTAAATTGTTGTTCTCCCAAGTTGTGAGCCACTGGGAGAAGCAACCCTTTGCAATGCAACTCCAGATCATATTTGCTGTCTAAATTAGAATTAATTTAATGGCCATCATTTATTTGAACACATTCAAAAGCCCTATTCAGATATTATATCAACAAGACACATTCACATGTATAGATAATGGGAATTAACACATATTTGAAATGTTCCAACAGGCACAGGGATGCACCTGCTACCCTGCCCTTAACACCCTTTTAGTGAGACAGAGTATTGCATAGGATTTTGATGTTTATTTTTCTTAAAGAATCAAGTTCCCTTTACTGTTGAACTGAATGAAACATATTACCGTCCTTAACTGAGACATTTTCTTCATAGACAATGGGAATTAACACATATCTGAAATGTTTTGAAACCTGATGCTAAAAGTCAAAGGTTTATGTTAGTTGTTCCCTCAAAAGCATGGCTTGTATTAATTACTATAATTCAGCATCCAAACCATGATTTCTCTACAGGTTTATTATGGCTTAGAGTACAGAGATCTAGATTTTGTCATCCTTAGTGAAAATGGGTATCTTGACACTGAGGCACGCTCTGAAAAAACTTGTCAACTGATGCAAGACATTTTGCTCCTGCATGAGAATGAAAAGATAACGTCTTTTTTTTTCACCAACAGTAGAAATAGAAAAAAAGTCAGTCTACAAACTTAATACAAAATAGCAGGGATCTCCCAAGGTAATTTAAGGGATAAGGACAATCTGAGGTGCATCTGATGGAATTTCTAACTTTTTTCTGTGCACAATGTAGCCTTCCATGCTGATTTAGAAACTTTAAATGTTTCAAATATGTGTGATATAAAAGCATATAAACACATACACTGTACATTCTTCAGATAGACAGATAGATATAGGTCTGTGCGCGTGTGTGTTTGTGTGTGTGTGTGTGTTTGTGTGTGTGTGTTTATATCATACCCTCCCCTATCTCTAGGTCTGCATGCTGGGTAACTCAATCCTGACCCTGTGAGACTCCCTGTGCTATAAAAAGTTGATTTCTGTTATAGTTTGCTTAAAACAATAACATAATATCATTGCACCAAGTGAAATTAAATCTAATTAGTCTGGCATTAGTTAAGGTTTAATAATATACACGTGCATTACTCCTAAACAATGTGATCCATTTCCTCTTCACACAGGTAAATTGGAAAACATGGTGGTGTCATCATAATTTTTAAACATAGTGAGAAAAACGACACAGCTGCAAAATTAAAATAAATGATTAATGACATTTTTTCCTGTTTTATACTAATAGGTATTGCTGAGTCTTTAAATTAATAAAGCTGTCAAGCTCAGGGAGGTTACAGGATCCAGCACAGAACCAAAATGGAAATTATGTATTCCACAGACACCTAAAGATGACACTTTGGAATATTTTAAATTTTAATTAGTAGGTGCAATTGTTTCACCCCTCCCCCACCTTTAAACCACTACAAATTAATTGGCAATTAGTCACAACTAATTCTTTTCTTAACAATCTGAACTGGAAGGGTAGGTGATTACATCTCAGCATAGTTGTCCAAGGTGCAGAAAGCACACATGCAGTAAATTGCATTGTCAATTATACAAAAAGAAGCAAAAGAACCTGTTATGTAATTATGAAAAAAATGTATAGGTAAACAAAAATAATGTATGCACAATGAAGTGGAGGAAACATAAAAACAATACCTGACTACAAGTAGAGTGTTAGGCCTCAAATGTATGCAAATGAGAAAACATTTTACAAAGCTAAATAAGATATAGACAAGTTTGTATATTAACTTGTCTGTAGCTTATTTATTAACTGTTTAAGACCAGGTGGATGCTTCCTTAATTGGATGAATAATCAAAATGGATACTAAGCCATTTCTTCCTAGAGCACACAAGATTTAGAAACCAGGTTCATTATACAGTGGTGCCTCGACCTACGAATGTCCCTACTTACGACCATTTCAAGTTACGACCTACTCTGGCTGCAAAATTTTGCTTCTACTTGTGACAGGAGCTTCCACTTACAAACAGAAAGTCAGGGGGAAAAGGCAGAAATTCACATTTCTAACTGTAGGTGGCAACGAGGTTGCTTCTTTGTAGCTCTTTCGCCCTAGCAGTTAGAGAGTGTGAGATCGGATAAGGCTAACTTGTAAGGTAAAGTGCTATTTTCTGCTTTTTAAAAACTGTTCTGGGTATTTTTGCAGCATGGTTTTGGCCTGGGGGGGTTATGTTTCTGTGCTATGATGGGTCTTGGGGGGTTTGGTTGTTTTTTTGTTTCCCCCAAGTTCCGATGGATCTTGGGGGGTGTGATGTTTACCACCTAACCCCTGCTTGTTTCCCCAAACAAAGGGCTCACACTATGTCTTTCCACCAGCAGATAACAACTGGGACATTCTCCCTTTTTCTCACTGCCACTAGTGGATTTCCTTTATCTGAGTGGGGCAACCATCTCAGGGGGTTTCTGATGGATCTTGCAGGGTTTGTTTGTTTGTTGGTGCTTTGCTTTTTGCTCATTTCTGATCTGTCTTGCATGCTTCACTTGCTTTTTGCATTGCTTTTTCCCCATTTCTGATCTGTCTTGCATGCTTTGTTTGCTTTTTGCATTGCTTTCCCCCCATTTCCATCTGTCGTGCATGCTGTGCTTGCTTTTATCCCTTCGGCCAAAAGGGATTCATCGAATTTCCGACGGGTCTTGCCGTGATTTTTTTGGTATTTTTTTTCCTTCAGCCGGAACAGATTAATTGCATTTCAATGCATTTCAATGGGAAATGATATTTCGACACAGATTAATTGCATTTCAATGGGAAATGATATTTCAACATACAACCATTTCGACATACGCCCATCTTCCGGAACAGATTAAGGTTGTAAGTCGAGGCACCACTGTAACAAGATGTTGCCCCTGAGTTTTCAGACAATCCTGATTTGATCTAAAGAAGGGGTTCTCAACCTTGGGTAAGCCAAATGTACTTGGCCTACAGTTCCCAGAAGCTTTCACCACCAGCTGTGTGGGCTGGGGTTTCTGGGGGTTTTAGTCCAAAAACTCCTGGGTTGGGAATCATTGATTTCAAGCACACATAAACACACAAACATCCAAACAAATCACTCTCACACAAGACTTCTGAGGAAAACTCTGAGCTCTAGTATGGGCAAAAGATTCCCAGTTCAGTTGACTCAATATAACCACATTGAATACTTATCCCTTTTCATGCCACCTTTGTCAGGCCTACAGTTTTCAGAATAACTTAGCTAGAGTGGCCAGTAATTTTTCCCATGGGTGTGAGGAAGTTGTCTGTGTACTTGGAAACACTGAGGAGTTTTGGATAACGAGAAAGCATTTTGGATTTGAGCAGCTCTGGATTAGATCCCAGTGTGGATTTTAGGGAAGAAACTAAAAAGGCTTCTGCTTCCAATACATGGCACTTCAGTGAAGACATGGGAAGTCTGCTTTGGTTTAGAACTATAATACAGTACTATAGTATCTAAGTAAGGATCTGTAATCAGCATATCTGCCAGGGCTCAAGCACTGTTGCCTTATCTCCACTCCCTTGAGCCGGCCAGCAATGAGAGGCCAGTTAAGTGATTCCTTAGCCTGCTGGTGCCTCAAGATGTGATTCAGCCTAGTGGACCTCACTTACTGTTCACGTTATCTATCCACCGGTTGGGTCAATAGAAAAAAAAAGTAAGAAACCCAATCAGCTAGATTACTAGTATTTAAACGGATGAAGCAGACTTTTAAAAAAAGAAAACACCAAGACCTTTTGATTGCTAATCTGGGAGAACACCTCAAAAGGTCCTCAGTTCCATGAGGTAACTGAGCAATCCCATACTGCTTCAACGAGTTAAGTGGGCTCCCATCCACACTCCAAAAAACGGACGTTCTGGGTATAACATTCCTAAACATGCATGTGTGTCCCCTTCCAGCACCTTGCAAGTGGATGTCAGGGTGGGCTCCATATATTTACAGAGTTGGCAACAAAAACAAAACAAAACAAAAACTGGACAAACCTACTGCTGGATGGGTGCCAAAGCAATAATATTTCCATTAAGTGTTGTATTCTTTTCCTCCTACTTTTAGGATTCACGCAGAATGGTCAAGGACTATAGGATCAAATTTCAACACGAGGGAGCACTGAAGTTGAAGCAAGATAAATTCTTCCTCTCCCCTTTAGATATTAAAATCCACTGTCTCTGTGGGCAGCTTTGGTGGAGGGTCAGAAGCAACAGACATACGTATATACATCTAATACGTTTTCCAATGGTAATTCAAAGGATCATTTTTGATATTGAAGCCCTCAAATCATCAGAGGGATCTTCTGCCCAGCAGCTGACACAATAACTGAAAGTCATTCTTTGTCTGCTCTCGCTTGTACATGTTAGGTGCAGTGGTAGGGTGATTCAAATTTCAGTTCTGCTTTAAATCCACTGTATGTTTCAGTCTGCACTTTACAGAAATTACCCAGTCATTATCTGCTACTGGTTGGATTAGATGGCTGTTTGCTAGACAGGACTTTTTCTGTGTTGGCGCCTTGATTGTATAAATCTTTCCCAAGTAGCATCTTGACTGTTACATATTAAACGCTACCAAAATATGTTCTGTTTATTTCAAAACTTCAGGTGTTTGGGGGAGGAATGGAAAAGTAAACTGATCCTGGCTAGAAACTTCAGGGTCTGTTTCAGCCAGATAAAGCATGAGCTACATGCATTGATACAGGGCAAAGGAAGATTAACTAGGTGGCTGCCATTCCTTTGTCTACGAAGATGGAGAAAGACACTTGATCCAACATCCCCTTACTTGATAATATTATCAATATACCTCACACTGATTCTTTAAGATCGCACTGTCCATCTTGGATCTCCTTCAGTTTAACTACAGATACTGAAACCTGAACACCTGGCCAAAAAATTCTTGAACTTTTCTGTTCTTCTCCCAATCTAAGTTCTTCCACACTATTGAAGAATTCTGCAGAACTTTAAAGCATACCCGTTTATGAAAATAAAAGTATTGCCCAAGCTTGTTTTTGAATGAGCAAATGAATGATGATAATAATGAAGATATGATGGTGATGACAACAATAATATCAATTTTAAAATGGCACATTTATCATGGCTCATCTTTATCTCCTTGCAAAATGGACTCTTAATGGCACTTTTTGACCAGTAGAATGGGTGAAACTGCCCTCAAGGATCTAAATTTGTCCTCTCACTTCCTCCTAAATCAGCACATTAGGAAAGAGACACACACATCCCATTCTCCTTCCTGTCACAATTAATTTTCCTCAGGTATATAATACTGAAGTTTTTCCAGTGTCTTGAATACATTTGTACAAAACACAAATTAAGTTTGAAATGACAAAAATGCTCAGCTTATTTGAGCACATTTGTAGGAAGAATAAAACTAAAAGCACATGTATGGATTTCATATATAAGGAAGTTGTGCATACAGTTACATGTTATGTTACTACACGGAGAGATTATATTGAGATCTGTTCATAGGACTTCAGCACTGTAGCCAAGTTGTTTAATCACAGAACTAGGATAGATTATACAATATGATGGAAGAGATATCGTTCATTTTGTCCAATATGAGAAATGTCATTACAGTATGATGTTCTTATTTTGGCCATTGTTTGCCAAGCTTTATTTTAAACATTGATCAAGATATACTTACTGTACAAGGTGTTTGCATCCATGGCTCCCCATCAATTTGCATAGGCAGAGCCTTGCTAGTCCTAGAGAAAAGAGTTACAGAAATTTACCAAATTTCATTCTTATATCTCATGTTTGATGCAATTTTTGAGACGCCCAGGAGAAGGGCATACACATAGTAGTCCTCTGTCAGTTTTGTTCTGCAGCACTTGGTATTCAATAGTATTCTGTGTCTGAAACTGTTGATACTCTCAGCCTCCATGAAATGAGCTAATATTCCTTTAAAGCAGTCTGGAGGTATAAGCATCAGTATCTTTTGCCACATCAAGCTCTTACAGGAGTCTCCCCATATCCACAGGTGATATGTTCCAAGACCTGCCACGGATAGTCATGAACCCTATATGTGACATACAGGAGCCATACTGGGGGTTGGGACAAAGACCTTCTTCCTTGTATGACTCCTGTTTCTATTATGAGATAAAGGCCTCTGTCTGTTTCATATTGGAAGCAAAACCTTGGAATATAACCAGACTCTGTAAATATCTTAACATTTCCATTTAATATTTTTGGATTGGGGTAAACTGCGGATAACCAAAATCGTAGAAAATGAAATTACAGATAGGGAGGAGGATACATGTGTCACGAAGTACTTCTTTCTTTCTTTTTCTGCTCTGAATCTCTTGCTGAGCAGATTCATTGGAAGACCCCATATCCTAGTATTACTTTATATGACCAATAAATACATGTGCATGGAAAATGTGGTTCCTACCGGATGGTAACAGATGTACATTGAGCAAGACGTCTTCCAGCACTTTTCAGTCCGGTGTATATTTGACCCATCTCCATGGCTCCCTCCAGACCAACCACTTCCACCAGCTGATCACTCAGATCTGAAAAGAAAACTTACAACTCTAGACCAGAACCTGAGGTTGCACAAGACACATGACAGCTGCTATAAAAAACAGTATCTTCTTATCTCATTTGCCTCCTTACCCTAGGCATGCCTAACAATAAAAATATGTTACTCAATAATTTGTTTTGTAGTAACAAATTTGCAAATGGTGGAGGAAGAATAAGAGCCACTTCTGCATTTTGGAGCACAAGTTATGCTCTTTGCAACCTCTGATGCTGACTCATCCTGTTAAATTCTTTCAGGTTCTTCACTATATGAAAAACTAACTAGAATTGTGAAGCTCAGCTTTTTTATTAGGTGCAAACTATAACATGGCAGCTAAATGCTTCCCCTATCTCTACCTCTAACTTATACAGTATGCAGATACCTCACTATCTATCTCCTGTATAAGAGCCTTCAAGGGAAAACGAAAAGAAAAAAAAAGGTGGGCAATAACTTGTTGATAATGCATTTATGCCTAAACTTTAGACCTGGCAATCCTATTATAGAACCAGATGAAATAATCAGAAATAATGGAAAGTAAGAGGGAGCAAGATAGAGAAATTACCCACATTGTAGAAAATATCAAACTAGAATTTCACATATTTTGTTAAAAAACATGAATGTTCCTTTTTTTTATTTTACACAGAAGGCAAGATCAAGAGAAGGTTAAAATCTGGCACAAGTTGCTCCTACGGCTTGTGTCCAAATAACATTGTTGATATAGGCTTGAAAGCAAACTCTCAATCAAGTCATCCTGATTATTATTTCATGGTGCCCTTGGGTTCCTAAGAGCCCATTGGCTCTATGATGAACTTTGCCTATAACATGAGGACTTTCACTTGTTTTTAGTGTGAACAACCTATCAGGCTGTATGGGAATGTTTGCACAGCACCACGCTGCTTTCCTCCTCTTCCACAAACCAAACTACTTCACGCGTCTCTTCAGATTAGCACTATCAATAAACAAACCTAGCTCTCACCAGGGACTGCTGATGTCAGCAGTTTGCTGATGGCATGCAGTGGGGCATCTGACCCTTTGCCCTGATTCTCAAAGCATGTGTATGGGGCAGAGTGGGGGAGTAAAAGTCACCAGAGAGATGTCCCTTCCATTTCCTCCCATCAGTCTGTTTGAACAATCAAAGAGACAAAGTGAAATCTGTGTTTGTGAGGACTGTCCCCTTATTGTACTGCTTGATCCTAGATGAGGGTAACATATTTAAGAGACTCCAGAGTTTTTCAAAAGCCATACTACAAGACATTACCAGATCACTGGGTTGCTTGATAGAAAGCTATGTTTAATCCCTCCCCCACACACCATGGATATAAATCAAGGGAAATAAACAAGGGTAGGGGTGGAAAGGAACGCAGCAGTACTATGATTAGAAATTGTGATTTACACATGGAGAATTGTTCCTCTATAATGGAGTTGTTGTGTAAATACTCCATTTATCTTGGTCATATATAAATACTGCAGACCTGGCAAGAGAGTGAAAGTCTCTATTAGAATTTGGGGTTACTGCACTTAGTCAAGTACATTTACATAAAAAACGTCACCAGTAGGTGGTAAATCTCTCCCTTTTGGCAGTTTTTCTTCAGAGAGATAAGGATACATAGCTGTCTAAATGTAATTAAACCATGGTAATCATTACACTACAAAAAAACTTGGACTTTAGTTAAATGTAGCACAGGGCTTTGAGATCTGGCCGACAGCCAGAAAGTCCGACAAACTACAACGGGTTGAGTGCTCTGCATCACATCCTATTCACTACAGTGTCTGCTTCAAGTGATGCTTAAAAAAAAAAGAACAGACTTGCAATGTGCAGGAAGGTAAGGACATTTTCATACACAGACACAGGAACTGCTGTTGCTTTGAGTGCCAAACACATGCTTAATGTCACAGGTTTGTATGCTTTAAGATGAACTATTGCTGACTTTAACAAAATGTCTCAACGCTTGGATGTAAAAATAAATGACCACATGATGTTTCATTGTCAATGGTCCTGTTTGAGAAAAGAACATTATGAGGCATTTTGACAACTATTATTATATTTACTATATACTGATAGTAGTTTTCTCCATTCCTACCAGGATAATACTAAAGTCAATACTATAGACCAGTACTTCTAGGAATCCTATAGTCCTTCACAGAGTATTGCACTATAACTCCCTGACCAAATTGAATTGGACTGATGTGAGTTGTATTCCAACATATTGAGGACCACGGAAACCACACCTATAGAGACAAAAGGTTGACTTTATTCACTAATAACTGTATTGCATGATACCTACAGATGTTTACCTGACAATGGGAACAGTAAGCTTTAATACTATAGCGTATTCTCTCACTCACTCACTCCCTCACTCACTCACTCACTCACTCACTCACTCACTCACTCCCTCCCTCACTCACTCACTCACTCACTCACTCTTTCTCTTTTTGTGACACACACATAATTTATTTCACTAATATTGGCCTAGAATGGTGATCAGTTCATCTTTCTGCATTTATAATCAATGGCATGGATTGGAATTCCTAGTATGTTTGCTAGCATTCATTGAAGGAGTTGCAGAAGGATAACAATGTGAACATATTAAAAGATTAAAATATTTTAAGGCATAAGCAATCCATAGTAAGTGAGCTTGATTTTAACTCCAGATCTTGTTATTACAACAGATGTTAGCATATTGTTAGATCTGGTGAGTAATATGATAAGTAATCCTTAACACCGGGGGTCTATAGGAAATGCTTATTAATTTTTTTCCTTCCTACAAAATGCACCATTTGTAGTAAATCTGTAGAACATCCTGTTTCAGATAGGTTATCTGGAACATATTATTTTTCCTTGCTCTAGTGGTCTTTATAAAATGAAGAATTCTACAAAAGGAACACCAGGTTACAGAGACTAAATGGCACATCACATAAAAATATCTGATCTCTAATGAGTGCCAGAGACTGAACCTGTCATCATCATAAACAACTTCTGTATGACCTCACTGAAGTCAGAACAATGCAAGAGAAAGTAGCCAGTGAACCAACAGGACAGTTTCAGAAGCTAGACAGTTCTGAACAATGTCCTGAACAATGGCACAGTGGTTAAATGACAGCAGTGCACTGAAGACCCTGCTCACAACCTGAGTTCTATCTTGATGAGCTCAGATAGGTGGGTCAAGGTTGACTCAGCCTTCCATCCTTCCGAGGCTGGTAAAATGAGTATCCACCTTGTGGTGGGGGGAATGTGTAGCTTGCATAATTAAATTGTAAACCACCTAGCTGGACCATAAAGAAGGCTGACCGCCAGAGAATTGATGCTTTTGAATTGTGGTACTGGAGGAGACTCTTGAGAGTCCCCTGGACTGCAAGGAGAACAAACCTATCCATTCTGAAGGAAATCAAACCTGAGTGCTCACTGGAAGGACAGATCCTGAAGCTGAGGCTCCAATCCTTTGGCCATCTCATGAGAAGAGAAGACTCCCTAGAAAAGACCCTAATGTTGGGAAAGTGTGAAGGCAAGAGGAGAAGGGGATGACAGAGAATGAGATGGTTGGACAGTGCTGTTGAAGTTACCAACATGAATTTGACCCAACTCTGGGTGGGAGTGGTAGACAGGAGGGCCTGGCGTGCTCTAGTCCATGGGGTCACGAAGAGTCGGACACGACTTAACAACTAAACAACAAACAAAACCACCTAGAGTGTATTAAGTGCTATGAGGCGACATTTAAGCACCACACTTTACACGTTTGCTTTTCTGGCAATCCACAGTTGGTCAGGGCTCTTCCTGTTTCTGGGCTTGACTATTGTAAGAAGCAGGGTATTGAACTAAATGGACTTTCCCCCCCTCATCTATCAAGACTCAGCAGCCAAAGGGGGTGCACTCTAACCACAACTTACTATGCTAAAGTAAGTTACAGTTAGGGAAAGGCTATTTGAATCAATGGAATTTACAGAAAAGTTGACTCACTAAATTTCCACTGATACAAAAATCCTACTCTAGTGCAATTTAGTACAATAAAAGCACAGGAGTTTGACCACTGATTATCTGAAGTCCACAGGAAACATTAAAAAAAATCAAAGGAAGGTTGAAATATAATTGTAAATATACATTCCCATAAGGATTTTTATTAATTTAAAAATGCTAAAAAATGTTCATTCATAACTCCAGTTTTAGCTTTTGCACATACACAGCAGTTGAAAAAAAAATAAATGAGTTTTTAAAATGTTCATATGTGCAATCTTAATGTAATTATCTACTTATTCCTGTTAACTGGAATCTGTAACTAGGAAAAAAGAAAGATCTTGTTTAATTTAACATTAACTTTATGGGGCATTTTAATGCACATAAAGGGTCTTTGTAACAGGCACTTTCCTTTAGCGAGTTAAGTGTTTCCCTCTTTAAAAAAAAGCACAGTTCCTGATTAATATTAAAGAATAAAATGAAACAAAAGGCTTCAGCTTTCAGAGTGCCACCTTCTTTTCCTCTGCGAATGTAACATTAAGAACAAATACCAACTTCTAGAATGATAACATGTTGAAACAAGGGATTTCATCTTCCAGTTTTGAGAGATCATTATGGAAAACCTTTGGTATACCTTGGGAAAAATGTATTCAGTTTTAGCAGTTATTCTTTTAATAGTTGGAAGTGTAACTGCTTTGAAACCAGCCATGCACAAAAAAGGTGCCTATTATTTTTTAAAGATTTTTTTTGAAAAAAAACAAAAGTTATTTGTTTTAAAGGGATGTTCACTACAGTTTCCTAACCCAATTCAAGCAGCAGAACAAAAGCTGTTCTACGAAAGGATTCTGAACTTGGACAAACATTTAAGAGAGAGCGAGGGAAAGAGAGTTGGGTGGGGGAAGCAAAGTTCTTCTCTGTTTTTATCAAATTTGATTGCTGCAGCTGTTCCCAGTCTCAGTATTTTAAAAATAGCCTTATTCAGTGCCTTGTTGGCTAAAGGCCAAGGTATCATTAGAACATGATGTACAGAAAAACCTCTATTC